TATATATATATATATATATAAATTCGTTTTACGTTATTTTTCATTCATTCCAAATTTTTTTTTATTTATTGTGTTTGCTCAAAATCTTCAAAGGAAATTCCGAAGTAATTTAATGCAATTGATACATTTTCTAACCTTAATTATATATATATAAGAAAATGTTTGTTAATTTAGTTGGAAAAGTTTTAAACTGTATAACCAGCTTACCCCATCGAAAAAAAAAATCAAAAATGTCCCTTCGCCAGGCGTTCTTAATTTCTTCAGTATTCATTGCTGTTTATATGTCATTTTTGCTCGATAAAAAAAAAATTTTTTGATAATCTCACTGGGGAATCGTTATGCCGTTATCTTTCTCCTCGTGGTTTAAATATTTTTATTTTATTAGTGAAAATTCTCCCAATGGTTTACTGCTGGTGAAGGGTTTTTTACATTCAATGACGGTTCACTTTTATATCAAGACACAGTAGATAGCGATTGATTTTGTGTTATCTTTAACTTGACGCTTGGGTCTGAGATATGGCTAGCGTAAAACATACAATCCCCTGGTTCTAAATTGAATCGAAGCTCGTCTTGTACTGATTGCATTCATGTGTGAATATTAAATTCATTCTACCAGAGACGCATCCAAAAGCATCAGTCTCTTCATCATAATATATATATATATATATATATATATATACATACCCAAATTTAACACCAAAAACGTATTTTACAATTTATTCATTTATTTTTCATTTATTGTTTTATTTATTTAATTTGGCTCCAAAGATTATTGGGGTCTGCAAGAGTGTCCTGAACAATAGAAAACCCTCCATACCCTCCTTTATTCAACCAGTTCGAGGTCTTGACCTCCTCTACCGACAAGGCTGAATCCTTTGCTCGGAAATTTTCATTTAATTCAACGCTCGACTCATCTTCCGGTGTACCCATACCAGACTTCCCTTCCTAGAACTGAGAATTTTATTGAGCGGTTTAGAACTTATAACCCCGTCTGTGGTACTGGGCATTATCTCCAATTTAGACCCCAACAAGGCTAGTGGTGGAGATGGCATACCAGCCATTGTCTTGAAGAAATGCGCGCCTGAACTGGCGCCCGCCCTCTCTAAACTATATAATTACTGCCTCAAGGAATCTTGTTTTCCTGACTGCTGGAAGTCCTCATCCATTGTTCCTGTCTTTAAGAACTCTGGATGACCCCTCTGACCCTTCTAATTACCGTCCTATTAGTCTCCTACCCCTCTTCGGCAAAGTCTTCGAAGCCCTAATCAATGCCGAAGTGGTTAACCACCTTACATCCCATGATCTGCTCTCAGACAAGCAATATGGTTTCCGCTTTGCCCGATCTACAGCTGATGTGCTTACGACCATCACTGAAACCGTCTACCAAGCTCTTCAAAATAACGGAAGGCTCGTGCCGTGGCCCTAGACATCTCCAAAGCATTTGATAGGGTTTGGCATGCCGGCCTTCTTCGCAAGCTCCAGGGTTATGGTATTACTGGTCGATTGTTTCACCTAATACAATCATTCCTGTCAAACGTGAATTGAAGGTCGTTCTCAACGGATTCTCCTCCAGTTCCTATCCCACGAACGCAGGTGTTCCTCAAGGCTCCATCCTGGGCCCCACTCTTATTTTCTTATTATTTTCATAAATGACCTTCCTGACGCCATAGATTCCCAAGTTGGCATCTACGCGGATGACACCACAATTTACTCCTGCCTCAAAAACAAATCTAGTGTCGGTAAAAAAAACTAACCTGGCCGTGCGTTCTGAAATGGACCTCCAATCGGTTGTTAACTGGGGCAAGAATTGGCTGGTCAACTTTAACGCCTCAAACCTAAACTACTCTCTATTAATCACCATAGAGATCCTTCCCTGCCCCCCATTAGAATGTCTGATAGTCAACTTCCTGACAGCAACTCCCTGCGTCTGCTCGGTCTCACGTTGACTGCTGACCTGAGGTGGAACAAATACATTGAATCAATTGCTTCGTCCACTGCGAGGAATGTTGGCTCTCTGTGCCGCGCCAGGAAATTTTTCTCCCCGGAATCGATACTTCAAATATACAAATCAACCATTCGCCCTTGCATGGAGTATTGCTGCCATATATGGTCTGGGGCACCTTCTGTTTACCTCGGGGTTCTTGACAAGATCCAGAGACGGATATGTAATATAATTGGCCCTGATCTGGCATCTCGTCTACAGTCACTCTCTCACAGACGCGCCGTCGCCCCTCTCTGTCTTTTCTACAAATACTTTCATGGTAATTGCTCCGATGAGCTGCTTTCACTGGTTCCCAGACTCCATGAATTCAAGCGCCCTACGAGGCTGGCATCCCGCTCCCACCCTTACACTGTAGAAACTTTTAAATGTAGCCGTCTCTTCTACTCCAATAGCTTCATACCTCGCACATCTCGCCTGTGGAACACCCTTCCCAATTACTGTTTCCCTGAGAGCTATAATCTCCAACTATTCAAATGTAATGTCAATCGACATCTCCAGTTACCTTGATCTATCCACTATCCTTCTCCTCATCCTTTCTTCTATCACTCTCCTATCTGCTCTCGCTCCAAATCTTCTGCAACCCCCTGCATCCTAGTGGCTTCACGCCTTGCTTGGGGCGTAATGCTTAAAAAAAAAAAAAATATTTAAAAAAAATATATATATATATATATATAAATTTTCATCTTTTTTTCATGATATACCGAAAATGACGGTCTCTTCTTTTTAAATTTGATTTTTATGAAAATCAATGTCTAGATTCAAACAAGAACTAATAATAGTATTAGTATTAGTTTTTTACAAGTAGTAGTAGTAGTACTAGTATATATTTTTTTTTTACTATTAGTAGTAGTAGATATAGTCTATATTTTTGTACTAGTTTTTAGTAGTTTAAAAACATAAAAATATATGAAAGTAAAAGACGTTTTAAAAAAAAAAAAAAATTAACTTTAACCATGAATTAAATGACACTCAGTTTTTTGTTTATTTTGAACTTTTGATATGATTAACTTTATTTTAATAATAAATAATACAAGAAGAAGAATATTTATTATTTTTATTATTATTATTGTTGTTGTTATTATTTTAATTTTGATTTTGATAAAATTATTTACATTGACATTTTCTAAAATCAAGAAATGAAAATATATATATAAGATCGGGAATAAGTATATATATATTTAAAGTATGCTTTTTATACACACACACACATGCACAAAACAAATATTTACAGATATATTTTTTTTGAATAAAAAATAAAATGGACAGAATAAATAAATTTATTATAAATAAAGTAAAAGAACAAGAAAGATTTTTTATTTTTAAATTTCATTTAAAAACCTGAGGCATCCCTTTTAAAAAAAAATTTGATATTTTAAATTTGTATAAAAATTTATATAAATTTAATTCGATAAAATTTTTTTTTAAAAAGTTTCAATCTTATTTTTTTTTTTGCAATCAATTCGACAAAGAATTGACTTAAAATTTTATTTCAAAAAATTGTTATTATCATTATTATTATTATTATTATTATTATTATTATTATTTAATTATTATTATTGTTGTTGTTTTTTTTGTTGTTTTTTTTTTTGTTAAAATTGTTTTTTTTGTTTTGTTTTTTTTTATTAAAAAAGATCCTTCTTTTCAAATATTTCCAAAGATATTTTGAATTTGAAAGAAGTTGAAAACAATTGTTATTCACTTGGATGAGATGATCTAAAAAAAATTTTGGAATAAGCCAACCGACAAAAACTAAAATTTCATTTTATTTTTTCTACCCTCATGAAATTATAAAAAAAATTATTTTCAATTTTTTAAAAAAAAAATTCATGTTATTTCCTATTTTAATTTTATTATTATATATATAATAATTTTAATTTTTTTACAAAAAATAAAATAAATTTGAATTTGATTTCAAAATGAAATCGACAATATTTTTTTTATTTCCAAAAAAAAAAATAATTTATGAAATTAAATACAATAAAAATTTTATTCGGATTTATTTAAAAAAAAATTTTTTTAAAAAAAATGTTGTCTTTTTTCTTTAATATTAAACAAAAATAAAAAAAATTATGAAAATAATATAAATTTCCCATTTCATTTTACGGTTTTGCGAGTTTAAAAAAAAAAATATGGTTTTAAATGACTCGTGCGTGTTAAACAAAATTTTGAATTTTCTTAAAATTGTAGCAGTAATTTGGAGGAAGGAAGATTTTAAATATAGCACCTTTTATAAAAGTAAATTTTAATAGAATTTGAATTTGTTTTTAAACAATAATAATCGTTGTTGTCGTTCATTTTAATGAAAAAAAGCTGGATTAGATAAATAGACATACAGACTGATTATATATTAAATTTATTTGCGTTTGCCTTTACATGTCTGTGTGTGTCGATTTTGAAAAGTGATTTTAGTATTAGATCGATAAATGTTTATATAAATAAGAAATTTTTATTGTTACAATTAGTGAAAAAGAGGTAAATGTAAAATTTTACCAAACTACCAACAATGAATTAGAAAAAAAAAAATAAAAAAAATATGTAAAAACCATAGCATCTGAAACTAAAATTAAAGAATAGAATGAAAACAATGAAAATTGAAAAAGCATTCATTAAATTCAAAGATCAGAAAGACATCATTTTTTTAAATATACCTTCATGAAGACAATGATTGAATTCAGCATCCTAAAAAAACTAATCGGGGAAAAATGAAGAAAAAAACGAAACTTAAAAACTTGTGTAGGAAACTAAGAAAATATAGAATATAGACGAATGGGAAAATAAAAAGCTAAAAAGATTAAAAAAACAGATTTGGTGTCTCAATCAGACCAGAAGGATATGACACCAGTTAATTGTAGGAACTGAGACATCAAAAGACAATGTAAATTTGAGAAGAAATAAATGAAAATATTTATTTTTTTTACAAGATAGATAGAAGAAGATAGATAGAAAGATAGATAGATAGAAAATACATACATAAATACATGCGTGACCATGTTTGAGC